CTCATCCTTACCAGTCCACGCACTCCATCTGTAACAGCGTCCTTTGCGACTAGCTGGATGATTTTTCGATAACAGCGTTCTGGTCAACATCATCATTATATTCATCGTCGTCCAAAACGAGCTGGAGCTCACCAACTGTAATGGCGCTATCGATAACTTGGATGAATGAGCAGTCTATGGCTGAGTACAGTGTAATCCCTAGACAGTTCGCAGTACCCTTGGCTTTGTTGTCTCCGCCTTTTGCGAACGACCGTATTTTCCGTGCCCAAATACGCACGGCTTGACGTCACATGAACTTGTCTGTGTTTGCATGCAGTTTAGGCCGGTCATATAAGCTGTTTGGAGCAGAATATGCTCCTGGGCCCATAACTACGGGAACCAGCTCAGACATGCTGGTGTTGCGCGTAGTGTAGGAGCAGTTCTGTCCTTAGTGACAAGTGCGGAAGGCACAAAAGCCCGAGTATGCTACTCTCTGCCCTGTCTTTGCTCCAAACCTCCGCTCTCGCTCTCCCTCCTTTTCTCCGGTGATTCCGATGTCTCTATCGCTCCATGTACATCACTATCTAGGAGAACAGCATGTCGCTTCTGCCTTCAATTACCATTCTCGCTTACAATGGTCGACAATACAATTGTCGGCTTTTCGCTACAGCTCGTAGACGTGAACTAAAACCCCATGCATGGGGATTGGTTTGCACCCTTTGGTCCTTTGCGCCCCTTGCCTCGATTAATTAATTCGTACCTCATGCATCCAACTACTACTACAGGGGGCCTCCGTAATAGTGCGCTCTTTGTTAGTACATTTACGTCAATAGTGCGCTTTTCAGGCCATGTCACCGATTCTGAAACGTGTACAACTGTACGCTTGATGTGCCAGCAATGCAGCTTTAGCGCGCCTTAGAACCCACGCCGCCGCTTGTTCCCCGAGAAGACATCTGCGGTGACGAATCAGAGGGCTGCGAAGCTGTGCCTTCTCCAACAGAAGTGGCGAAGGTATTTGAAGCTGCAGAGAACTTCGCCGACAACACTGGGATTGCAGGGGCAGGTCAGGGTTTGCGCCGTGCGAAACGTGCACTTTTTGATGCTTATTACGACCAGAATAGAAAGAGGAACCGCCAGACGCTCATTGCAGAGCATTTCATGTGGTACAGTAAATGAGCTTTGCTGTTGCTTCTTTAGTGCATGACGTCAGTAGTGCGTTTTGTGAGGCCTGGCACAGGGGTGCACTATTACGGGGGGTCTACTGTATCCCATTCAATCCTGCCATGCTATGTATGCTGCAAACCTGTACACGTTGCACAAATTGTCACAACAGTACAGTGCCGAAAACACGAGAAGAAACATTACAGTCATATCCATATTACAGTTCGTACGGTGATGCTGAGGGAGACAAACTGTCGCGCAGAGTGACATGATACTCTGAGGGCCTTCCTTAACTCGCATGCGCGGCGTGCGTGCATGCGTGCCCAAGGCCTCTCTCCACCCCTATTGGCCCCTGAAGAATAATTTAAACCACGTCTGGCTCCATTACACCACTCCTCTCCGTACACGCAGCCGCCTGGCACATCACCAGCCTCGACCTTGTCAACACCTCATTGGCACCGATGCCAATCTTCAAAATTTAAAAAAGGCGGCAAAACGGCAAGCTTAAAGCCCACGTTTGCACATCTCGATGCTAATCTCCGAGTTGGTCCAGCTACAATTTTGCTTCCTATGCTAATGCCCCGGACCTCGAAGTCGTGACCTGGTGCTCCTTCGTACAGAAGCGCAGAACTCTACGCCCACCCCCACATGTGCCCATTCGAGATACCATCACACTATCCCCGTCCATTAACGTCACAATCAAAAACATGCCATCTCAAAACCAATTCCTCTCTCCCTTCATGGCAGTCTCCATATACCCGAGGCGATCTCCTCGTAACCACCGAAGCCCCCATCCCTCGAGACCCCCTTCTTTCCCACGACACACCGATCCACTTCCCCGCATATTAGCCAACTCCTTTGCCGCTGCCGACACCCCAACTCCCTCTCAACGATCCCCTCCTCTACATCCCGCGAGCTCAGCGGAACATGCAAGCGAGCGCGAGACTCACCCCCCTTCTAGCCAAGCCCGCCGCTGGAGTGACCTGTCCACTGTTCCCCCAAGAAGTATTCCCCCTCCCGTTTGGCCTCGCCGGCCATCAACGGGAAGTGGGCAACGTCTGTCGAGCACGACAACGGAACCCCCACCTGAGCTATCGCAAGTTGGGGTGCAGGGTGACTATGGAACACCCCCAGGGCCTACTGGCGGCCCTCAAACGACACTAAACGCTCCCACGGCAAGCGATGAAGACCGAATCACTGTCGCGGTAGAGGCACAAACTGTAAATGTACAAACGCAAGTTGTGTCACCATTATGCAGGCGCGAAATTCTATTGCTGGCTTACAATTTTATTGGGGAGCATACGGACGCCGTCTTGCGAAAAGTATTGAAGACTTGGCAGCGGAAAGTGAGCGGTTCGAAGACAGAACGCATCACACGAGCCTATCTGTACTTTCGTGTGTCTCTTATTGGTGGTGAGGCTGCCGGGGAATTGTTTCGGAAATGTGTGAAGGATGCAGTATGTTTATTCAAGGACTTCGACGCATGGACGGAGGATAACAGGTCTTCCGTCGAGCATTTGACGGAGGTCCCTTCCGATGCAGATCTCATGAGGACTTTTCGTCCGATGGAAGTGGCGCACTGGGAGGAGTTTGAGGCTGTAGCTGAACAGAGGCGGCAGATGGTGGCTGACGGAGACTTGCCAGAAGTAAACGCTGAGAGTTCGGGGTACGGAAGATCTGCGAGCGGCGCTGGAGGATCGCCGTTCAGCCTGTCGCAGTTTGCTCGGTTGTGCCTTCTGCTCCGTGACGATCCGGTCGCAAATCTCGCGTTTCAGGGAACCGGTCAAGAGCTGAGCATGGTGCAGCAGCGCAATCGTGTCAACCGTGACGACTACTGGCAAACTGTTGCCGAGCGCTTCAACAACGTTGACTTCCACCCCCGCATTGACACGCGACCCGAACTACCCCTAGGGACTCTAGACCCCTCATCGACTCCTCTCTCACCCGTGGGCGCCTTGAAGCTGAAGACTGTGTGGACGGACATGCGCGGTCCGTTCACGAAGGCCCATAATGACTTCAAAAAGTCGGGTCAGAACGATCCGACCTTACTGGGGACTCTCCGCTTCCTGCAAAGCAACGGGAACGGTCAGCTTTGTGCCCTCTCTAAACGCATTCTCGTGATGTTTATCGTGTTGAGGATCGGGAGGGACAATAGGGGGACAGATGACCAGGGGTCAACCGCGAAGGCCATGTTGAGCATGGCACTTAGAGTGATCCCGGGCGGCGACGGATTTGATGAAGCTGGGTCGGGAATTTCGTCAGGGGTTGGTGGGAATGGTGCAATTATAACAGGTAGTTCAAGTGACGAGGGGGACGACGGGGGATCAGCATCGGGATCAAGGAAGAAGCGTAAGACAGTCGCTGTTTCAGAAGATACATCGTTCCTCTGTCAGCATATAAAAGGATTGACAGACTCGCTAAGTAGTCGGCAAGCTGACACCGGGGAGGGATCTTTAGCGGCGTTTGTGGAAAGTGGAAAGTTAATGGAAGTGTTGCAGGAGGCGCAAGAACAATTGCGGACTGCAGAGACGAGAGCAAAGGATGATGATGATGTTTTACTGAAGCTAACCACGGCACGTTTTGAGAAGATACGAGCAGATTACGAGCGCAAGTTTGGAGAAACTGCGTAGGATATAGAAGCCCATCGATAGCTATAGCACGTCTCGACAAAATTGCCGCAATTGCCATGCACATCGGCGCCTCTAGCGGTATACCTCAAGTCTAGGCGATCGGGGCTCCTCCTCGCCACCAGGGCCAACCAGACAGCCTTAAAGGCTCACGAGAGGCGGCCAGCTTCAAATTCAATTTCAACCCATGTCCAGAGCTCCGAAGCGGCGTTTCCCATGTCCGAAGAAAACCTCTGTATCTGCGCAAAAGTTTTACTGTGCTCGACTGTACTCTGGCCATATTTTCCAGGCATATGAATTTTCAGGTTCTCCGCCCTCGGCTTCTCATTTGCGGTATGAAGGGATTGGGACAGACGCAGATTGGTCCTGCTATTCTGTATCGCTTTGAGGGTTGCCCGGTCCATGTCATTGATTATCCATCGCTGCACTCAGATGCGGGTGCTAGATGTGCTGAGGAGGCGCTAGTAACGGCCTTTCGTGAAGCGATGCGGTCTGTGCCTTCGATTTTGTACCTTCCACATCTTGACCTGTGGTGGGAATCAGCATCTCCATCATTGAGAACGACGCTTGTCATAGCCTTAAGGAATCTACCATCTGACCTTCCCTTATTGGTGCCATGACTAAGTATTCCTGAATGCGGAGATTTGGAGCCCACTCGGTACAGGGATGATGCAGGAAAGAATATTTTTGAAGTTGAGGAGTTTTTACCGAGGCACGACAGCGCGAATCGAGCACGGATACGGTGAAGGGGGAGCTACACGAGCTGGCAGAATTCAATAGGATTGTAAATGAAAAGGGGCAACAAACTGGCCGGGAGATCCACTTGGCGATGGAAAAAGGGCATATCTTGTGGAGCAAGTATTTCTGGGGGTGAAAAAGAAATGGGAGGAGCATTCAAGTGATGCAGTGAGACAAGTTTTGAATGCAAGTGGCCAAGTTGAAATCCGCGCTGCCGTCACGCCCATCGCACGATGTACGCTTGATGTGTTCACGCCCTGTATACACGCAGAGCACAATCCCGAAGAAATATATTTGCAACTGAATTCTCGGGGGAACGATGGATCACCGAATACGTGTGAGGCGCGGCTAAAGGAGGCCGTGCTAAGTACCGATAGGAATACAAGTATAGGAGCGACGGCAACGGGGAAGGGCGGAGTCGGGAAGACATGCGCTCTTCGAGCGATTGCGCACGACGATGACATCAAGGCTCAGTTTTCAGGCGGAGTGTACTTGATGTCTTTGGGGAAAGATGCCAACGTAGGGCGGCTGATTGAGCAACTGTGTATAGCCGTAGAGGCGTCTGGTGGCAACCAGGCGGCTGGGAAAATGCGAGAGCAAAGCGAGTTGAGCAGGGTACTGACCAAGATGCGAGCATGGTTCAACACACGTGTATGTCTGTTCATTATTGATGATGTGTGGGCCATGAATGGTATAGATGCGTGTATTCTGCAGAAGTTATCTATTCTCGCTGACACAGCGGGAGACAGCCGAGAGAGGAGCAGACTTCTGTATTCCACGAGGGACTCAGAGCTGAAACAGGTCGGTAAGCGAGTGACTTTCGAGCCGAGGGAAAGGGAAGGGAGCGATTCAGTTCACATGCTCATGCTTGCTAGCGGGGCGAACCCGGAGGAAGCGAATGATCCGAGATTCAAAGAGGCCGTGAGGGAAATATTGAAATTGTGTGCTGGTTTGCCGCTGGCTCTGAACGTAGCCGGGACGAGTGTCAGTGAGAGTCCAAGGGATGGGTATTTGTTGTCGTTAGACGCGACATTACATGCGTCACTAGAGATTGTGGAGTCCGGCATGGGGAGCGATGCGGAGAGGTTAGGTCAGTTTTCGTTTCGAAAGGTACATCGGAGTCTGTGTGTTATGAAGAAGCAAGACGGGATGCCTTTGTCGTTGGTAAGAGAGTTGTGGGAGATGGACTACGAATCGGCTGAAAAGTACGCGAAGCAGATGGAAAGGGTTGGATTAGTAGACCTTCATTACGACAAGGATTGTGGGTGGGTACGGATGCATGATCTGACGCACGATTTTGCGGTGCAGGAGGCGCAGAAGGAGGACAGTGTAACGTTCTGGTATAAGAAGTTGGCAGATGTATGCAGGCAGGGAGGAGGACTGCTTGCTATGACTACGAGCGAGGGCAGAGAGAGCAAGGATGCAAGAGAGAAGTATGTTTTCGAGAATATATATCGCGTTCTGAAACAGGGCGGGTGTGTGGAGGAGCTGAAGAATCTATTCTTGAGTGCACGATGGGTGAAGGCAGTGATACAGAGAGGAAGTGTGTGGCAATACGAGGAAGCTGTAAAGGATCTAAATAGGCTTTTGGGGAACACGGGAGGAAGCGAGAGCCTTTTAAGGGATACGGGAGAAGAAGATTCGGTGTATGCGATGGAATTGATGATGAGAGCTGCACGACTGAGTGTACCTTTTTGTGGTGAAAGCAGTGCAGGGATTTACTTTCAACTGTACGGAAGAATCAAGCACAGGGCATCAGAATTAGGTAGCGTGCAAAGGATACTCGAGGAAATCGAGGAACACGCGCCACGGCCATGGGTGCGGCCTGTGAGTGAATGTGTAGGGCGAGCGGGAGGAAGTTTGGTGGAGCATATTGTGCTTCCGAATACTCCGATTACCGTTTACGAAGTCGGCATGGACTCAACGGGTGGCGTGTATGGACACTATTCGAACCCGGGCGACACCAGGATCACAGTTTTCACACAGTCTCCGGACAAGGAAATGAAGATGACTGAATTAAGCAACGATTTTGGAACGGGGAGCCGAAAATTAACGTGCGGTTGTGTCAGTATGAGCAAACGCTATGCAGTTATCGGATATGATGATGGGACACTACAGTTCTGGAGTGTATCGGAAAAGAAAGTGTTGTGGAGTGTCTGCGGTCATGAATCGCGGGTGTGTAGCGTTGCGATGAGTGGTGATGGAAAACGTGCAGTATCTGGATCGAATGACGAGAGCGTACGAGTTTGGGACGTGGACACAGGACTGCAAATCGGCGACGCATTAACTGGACACACGGAGGTGGTGGTGGTGTATAGCGTTGCGATGAGTGGTGATGGAAAACGTGCAGTATCTGGATCCCGGGACGGGAGCGTACGAGTTTGGGACGTGGACACAGGACTGCAAATCGGCGACGCATTAACTGGACACACGGGTGGGGTAGCGAGCGTAGCGATGAGTGGTGATGGAAAACGTGCAGTATCTGGATCCTGGGACGAGAGCGTACGAGTTTGGGACGTGGACACAGGACTGCAAATCGGCGACGCATTAACTGGACACACGGGTGTGGTGTCTCACGTTGCGATGAGTGGTGATGGAAAACGTGCAGTATCTGGATCCCGGGACAGGAGCGTACGAGTTTGGGACGTGGACACAGGACTGCAAATCGGCGACGCACTAACTGGACAGACGGGTCCGGTGACGAGCGTTGGGATGAGTGGTGATGGAAAACGTGCAGTATCTGGATCCTAGGACAAGAGCGTACGAGTTTGGGACGTGGACACAGGACTGCAAATCGGCGACGCACTAACTGGACACACGGGTCTGGTGACGAGCGTTGGGATGAGTGGTGATGGAAAACGTGCAGTATCTGGATCCTGGGACAAGAGCGTACGCGTTTGGGACGTGGAGAAAGGGAGTACAGTTCATCTCGGAAAGTTGAAGGACTGGCGAGATATCGTGGAGAGATTTCTGAATGCAGAAAACTTACGTGCCGTCTCTCGCACTGGACATAGGCACAAAAGGCTCAAAGTTTTTGAGAGCGGGGGGAATATTGTGCATGAGCGAGAGAATGGCTCTGAGGCTGTTTTGGCGCAGCTGGAGATTCCGGTAAATCGGTGGGAGGTAGACGATAATCATGGGGTCTTTGTTGCAGCGGCCGGCAAGCGGGTGGTTATTATGAAGCTAGTGGTCTAGGTGTGTATAGGTCTAGGTGTGTATACTCTACTTCCCTTGTCCTCTCGGCCAGACACAGACGCTTCTATTGTACGGTACGTGGTGGCACCTGTGGTGGGGATAGCCTGTTTGGTTTTTTTACATGTAAAGTCTTGAGAATTCCGGTTTATTGACCGCGTCGTCTGGAATCTTCTGCAGCTTGCAAAAGGGAGAAATACGTGACCTGTCTTCAGGAAACGTCAGCGGGCGCGAAACGCAGCCTGATGCGCGCTACTGTCTCATGGCGATGCTATCGCCCCTGTCTCATGAGCATGAGACATGCATGGGACACATGCACGGGTTGACGATAAATACGAAGGCGATGAATACGAAGGATACACGATGGACATCTATTCATCTCGTTTCGTGTGGTGAAGGCCGACATCTTTTGAAGTTTCTGTGGAAGCGAGCGATTTCCTGCGCAATGGCTGTGGCAACAGGGAGCTCAGGCACGTCCTCAGGAGGTACGGTACCCTTCTCACTCTCTGTCTTCCTTGAGAGAGTGGCACCCTGTTTTGTAGTGCGGTGCTGTTTGCATCCATCCGTGCACACCAACAGTGAGGTGGCCAAAACCTGTAATGTTGTGCCCGGTCCCTTGGGCACCGTGAAACCGAGTTTTATTTGGTTACCTTGATTGAAGGTAGAGGCTGTCCGCCCGAGTCAATTCCTACACGTTAGTCTAGGTGTAAGCAAGAAAAAAGGGGACGGCTCGTTACACGTGTTCACTTTTCTGTAATAAAGTAGTAAAGTACACGTATTCACTTCTCTTTATGAGGGGAACGGGGTGGTGCTGTCCGCACTGCTGTTCGCAGAGGTGTACAGTCACACCCCAATGCTGTAACGGCTGTTCGCAGAAGTGATGTGCAGAGGTGAATGCAGCGCGCCAAGCCCGGCGCGCTGCGCGACGTCGACGTCGGCACAGATGCGGGGTTCCCAGGGCTCGTCCTGGCCATCGCGAGGACGCAGTGGGACGTCACGATGCTCGAGGCCGCGCGTAAGAAGACGCGCCTCCACGACATCGTGGAGCGCGAGCTGGCCCTGCGCAACTTCACGTCCGTGTGGGGGAGGACGGAGGAGGTCGGGTAGAGTAAGATGCATCGGGGCGGTATGAAGCGGTCGTGGCACGGTCGTTGGCGGATACGCACGTTTGCTGCAAACTGTGCGTGCCGCTGGAAAAGGTGGGGCCGTGTTTTTCGCGCAGAAGAGCGTGGGCGCGGGAGCTCAGGAGATTGCCGCCGGGAAGGAGGCCATCAGAAGGCTGATCACCGGCACAAAGAACCTGAAGTCCGTAGCTTCAATTATAAGTCTCGAAAGAAGTGTTCCTTTTGGAATTGATCAAGGTCCCATCAATGGCATACTCGGGTCAGGTTCTCCCTTCTCACCGCCATTCTCTGCGGAAGTGCCCTTTCCTCGGCGCCCTGATTTGCCCCGGCTGTCACGCCAGCTGCCTGTGGTCCGAAATCTGTTGCTCGCAATCCGATAGATTTGAAGTTCCACTTCTAATGCTTCCTTGATATGACCCATCCCGTCACATCCTTCAAAGAGATATATATTTCTACCCGCCCGAACGAGTGGCTCCAAGACCCCTTCCGCGAGGACTAGCCCATCGGCCAAGTCAACGTCTCCTTTGAGGAGCTGTTCCAGAATATGACCACTTCCGTCGTTCGCGGGGACCCCGCTGATGGCGAAAACTATGAAGATCGCATGCATGAAGTTGCCTTGATGAAGCCGCAGTACTACAACTTTGATGGAATGCCTGAAGGGCCGACACATCCGTACGACAAGGGCGTCGCCTTCCGCGGATGCGTCCTTATCGGCATCGGAGCCGCCGGAGACGTCGAGGAGCCAATCCTTCGGCCATGCCCGCCCTCTACGCGACCGAAAATCGAGTTTTACAAGATAAAATTTTCCGTCTTACGTGTGACCGAGCTCCCGCTCTTGGGCGAGAAGCTGGAATGTGTGCCCGAGGCGTGGGCGTGGCAGTCGATGCAGGGCCAGGGGGAAGAGGCAGAAGAGATTGACGGAAGAAAGAAGTGTACTAGGGCCGTAAGAAAGGTGATGGCAACGCCATGGGTGTTTCCGAGGTTGCCGGGAGTCCCGAAAAAGAGGTTTTTGTGAGACCTCGAATAGGTTTGCGACGAGAGAAAGGCGTCGGGAAACTGGAGAGAGGAAAGGTGTCGGTTGAGAGATGTGCCAGGGATTTGTAGCATAAACACCCCCAGACGACTGGAGGTGTATGCGCAGTTCGACCTGTAGACCCCGGATCGGAGAAGGGGTGAAGCGGGCCAACCAACTACGGAACCGGGCTCGGGCCCGGGTAGCGGTGGTAGAGCGGGAGCGAGCAGGGACGCGCGCACACACGAGCAGATCGACGCCTCGACGCCCCGGTGCAGCACTGGGTGACGTACCAGTGCTGACGGGCGGAGGCCGTTCCGTGCTCTATGGCGTGCTGCGCGTCCACTCCGGCTCGGCTCCGACTAAACGCGCGCGAAGAGCAAAGGCGACGTTTAGAATAAGCTGGGTGGACTGACCTTGGCGGTCGGTTGAGGACAAGCCCGTCCTTCTCCCCCCCTTGCCGCCGTCGGTCCGCTCCCTATTTAATATACAAAACAATCTATCATAACACTACAGTACCGAGGTACTGTAGTGGGCTACTGCAGTGCAGGTCGGCCTGCACTGTAATACTGTCAGCTATGTCGAGGCTGACAGCACACGTATTACCCGTGGTGCGGGCGCGCTTCGTTCGCGCGTGGTACACGTGTGCACGTGTATGCGCGGGTCCCTTGTCCCCGTGGTGTACACGTGGACCCGGGCGGTTGTAGAGTAGAGCTCGACGCTCTACAGTAGCTGATCTATTTCTTGATCTAATCTAATTTAAAGCCCCAGGGGGAGTTATACTACACGCCCCCCCCCTTCAAGACTGAACGTCCGCGTTCAGCAGTCTCGGGCTTGTAGAGGCGACCATGTCGGATCCCCTCCCTGTAGTCCTGGACTTGACCCGGGTTCCACCTCACCCGTCCTCGCGTTGCTCGGAGTTATCTATCGTTCACCCCGTTCCCCCTATTGACCATCTTGTCCTCTGCCGTCCCCTCCTTCTCCGTCCGCGCATCGGTGCGCCTCTCTTGTCATTTCCTTTTCCGCACTCGGGTCGCTGCGCCCCCGCTGTCCTGTCTCTCTTCGTCGGAGGCCTCAGTGTCGGGGTCATCATGACGTCGCCCTCCGATGGTCGGTTCGTCGCGTCCGTCGCTACTCCGTCGAGCTCCGTAACTCCATGCCTCTCGCAGCCGTGTCCTTCGTCGCAATCTCCCGGAGGCGCTGCTCCCCTTCCGCCGTCGACGGCGGAAGTCGCGGCCCCGGCTGGGCACGCTCCGTGTCGCGCCGGGGCAATCGGGCGTCCTTGAATTACTGTACAGCCATTTCAGCGAGCTCGTGTCTCTCGGGAGTCGACGTCCTCTGTCGAACTGATTCCCTCCGCCACCGCCCCTCGCCTGCCTGTCGATGCAGGCCCCATCGGGGGCGCTACAGCCGCGCTTCCCGACGCGACGGATTCGCGCGGGAGATCGGGCAGCGGCCCTCGCATTGTCGAACATCCTGAGACGCCTCAGGATCCGGCGGGTCAAGCCCCCGCGGTGGTCGAGGCTCCATCCGAGTGGTACGGGGCGTCGCTCGAGCGTTCCGCCCCGTTGCCCCTAGACCGTCTAAGGTTCGCGTGGTGCCGCTTTGCCCGTGCCGGCATTACTGTTGGGGAACTGCTGGCGCGGGAGCAACTTCGTCCCGATTTGCTACGCGTCCGGAAGGTCTACGAAGCCGGACGCGTAGAGGAGGCCTCGCTCGTTCTGCGGCGCCTGCTGGCAGAAGGTGGCGGTGCGGCGTATCAAATCCCTTCTGCCATCCCCTGCGATCGCACGTTTGCGTACAGCCTCGGTGAGGTAGAATACGTGGATCGCATGGCCACGTATCTCCTCCACCGCGAGGGGTCGGCCCCTCGCGAATTCGTCTTGTCCCACGTGGGTAGTCTCTATGTGAGCCCCCGTCCTTTCGCGTACTCGAGGGCGCGCGTCGCCTTGCAGAAATCAGCGTGCTCGCTGATGAGACTACACGGAGTCGCCATTGCTCCGCGCGATTGGTCGGCGTATCGCCATTCCGAGGAGGAGGAGAGCGCGTTTTCCGTCACGCTTCCTTCGAAGGAGGCCTGTCCCCCCACGACTTCCCCTGGCTCCCTGCAGTGATACGGGAGACCCTCCCTTCGTTGGGAGTTCATCCGCTGCTCCCGTATGTGCTCAAGCACTTCGGTGTGGCGTGCTCAAATGCTCAACATCCGGCTTCTGCAGACTTAATGCACAACGTAGAGAGGGAATGGGCCTGGGCCCTCGGGAATGCGTTCATGAACGAAGTGTCCATTCACGGACGCGTGTTTGTCCAGCCCCTCGAGGTGCTGGCCTACTTGGGGAGGGTTGCGTGGGACCTCCCCAACGTCCCCCTTCATCCGCTCGAGCGGAGTAATCAGCATGTGCCTTGGTCGTACGCGTTCGCCCTCGGGCTCATGCATCGGGCTTGCGAGGTGAGCGAAAGCCAGCGTCGGCGCTGGCCCGATTTCACTACCGGCGAGCGGTCCTCCTTCCTCGTGTATGACCATCGTGCTGACGTCTTCGTGGCGCGCCAGGTGGCGCCGGCGTCCTCTTCGGAACACGTCAGGAGCGGGGGCGGAGTCGGCTCCGCCTCGCGCGAAGCGCGAAAGAAGCGATATCGCGATTTGGACAGTGAGCCCGCTCCCCATCCTTCCGCACGTGCGGACCCGATGTTCGAGACTTTTCTCGCCGAAAGCGACTTCGGTCCGGTGGCGAGTCCTCCGGTCCCCCCTGTTCCTCCTCTCAATGCGGTGCTGCCGCATGAGGCGCCCCAAGTGGCGTCCGTACGCCACGCGACGTTGGAGGGAGAGGACGTCAGGGCCGTGCCGTCGTTAGTCCATGCCTTGGGTCGCGCTGCCGATCGCACTTGGCAGGTGGACGGTCTCCTTGGCACACTCGCGGGCTGGTACTTGGCGCGAAGCGACGAAGCACGTCGCCTCGAGGCGGGTCGTGCGTCGTCCGTGTCCGAGCTGCGCCGTGTACGCAACGAGTTAGCAGCGTCACGCGAGTCCTCTGATCGT